TATATATATAGGAGACAGAGTCTCAAACTGTCACCCTGGGTAGAGTGCCATGGCATCACAGCTCACAGCAACCTCAAACCCTTTAGGCTTAAGCGATTCTCTTGCCTCAATCTCCCAAGTAGCTGGAACTACAGGCGCCCACCACAACGCCCGCTACTTTTTAATTGTAGTTGTCATGGTTGTTTGGCAGGCCCGGGCCGAATTTGAACCCACAAGCTCCAATGGATGTAGCTGGCACCTTAGCCAGGTGAGCTACAGGCACCAAGCCACAAAACCTATTTTTAACCAGAAATTCAAAATACCCTCAAGTGATCCTATCATTTATGAGCCAAATGAAGTAGCAGCAATCAAACCAGGATGGTATAGAAAAATCAGCCCACCTGGTTATTCTATTCACTTGAGATATATATATAGTATAATGTCAAATAAGTTAGCCTCATAAGACTGAGAGAGACTAAAGCCCACAGGCAGTGAATTGCTCAAAGTCCCAGTGCTAATGGGAAAGGGTCAGAATAGGTATTAGAATTCAGAATCCAGGTACCCTGAAACTGTCCAGGGCAATAATCTACTATTTAGTACCACTTTCTTTTCTTTCTTGAGTTACATGTGTCCAGCTCCTTTTTCTCACAAAAAGACTTTTTCTCAAAAATATGTTCTTTAACCAAACTCTGAAAATAAGGCAAAAAAATAATACAATGACAGGGAAGTGAAGAATTTTGAATGCTCACAAAAGGAGACTCCTAGTCATCTGTACACACATATTAATCCTGTGTTCTAGAATCAAAAATCTTTTCCATATGATGGACAACTCTTTCATCTTTAAAACAGAATTCTGCCCATGCATAATGTCAGCAATGAAATATAGTAGAAATTAAGTAAAGCAATAACTAGCTCTTTTGAAATGAAGAAAAGCAGACATTCACTGATACATTGACTCTCCCAAATGTTAATTCTTTCTTATTCCATTGGACAGGCAGGAACCAAAACTTCAGAGTTTACTATATGTTCTCCAATATTCAGCTAAGGAAATGGGGACCAGAGCCATTTCCATAGCCTTTATTGACTTAATAATCTGCTTGGCTCCAATTCCCCACATCCTCATATTATCCCAAATAGCCACTGGAATCAAGATAAGCACTAACTTCAGAAATACACAATTCATGGGGCCAAACATGGTGGCTCATGCCTATAATCCTAGCATGCTGGGAGGCCAAGGCAGGAGGATCACCTGAGCTCACAAGTTTGGGACCAGCCTGAGCCAGAGCAAGACCTCATCTCTAAAAATAGCTTGGCGTTGTGGTAGGCACCTATAGTCCCAGCTACTCGGGAGGCTGAAGCAAGAGAATCACTTGAGCCCAAGAGTTTGAGGTTGCTGTGAGCTGTGATAGATGCCACGACACTCTACCACAGATGACAAAGTGATACTGTCTCAAAAATATATATGTACAATTCTTCCTGCTTAAAATAAACTTACTGATCCAACTAACTTTGTAATACAAAAGTAGAAAAAAGCATAGGTTTTATTTTTTATTTAGAAGAATTTCAAATGCTCACAAAAGGAGACTCCTAGTCATCTGTACACACACATTAACCCTGTGTTCCACTTTGTCACCCTCAGTAGAGTGCCGTGGCATCACAGCTCACAGTAACCTCCAGCTCTTGGGCTCAGGTGATTCTCTTGCCTCAGCCTCCTGAGTAGCTGGGACTACACGCGCCTGCCAACAACATCCAGCTACTTTTTTGTTGCAGTTTGGCTGGGCTGGGTTTGAACCCACCACTCTTGGTATATGGGGCTGGCACCCTACTCACTAAGCCACAGGCACCACCCAAAGCGTAGGTTTTAGATTCAGATCAACCTGCATTTAAATCCTTACCATTTACAAGCTAACTAGTCAAATTAAATGAACTTCAATTTTCTCCTACAAAATTTAAAAATAGCACTAGCCCTATAAAGCATGAAGTACAATAGGGGCCCACCTAATAGGCACTCAGTAGAAAGGTCTTCTTATTTTTCCTTAGAGGTTTTTATTTTATAGCCACTGATGAACATAGTCACGGCCTTGGCCAGTCTCTAAAAAGTTCTCCTGGGTCCATCTATTAACTCCAAAACTACATAAGAGAGCTTACAAAATATACTGGCTGGCCAGGCAACACCTCGCTCACGCCTGTAATCCTAGCACTCACGGAGACCAAGGAAGATGAACTGCCTGAGCTCACAGGCCAGAGACAAGCCCGATCCCGTCTCTTTAAAAAAAAAAAACAAAACAGCGAGCCGTTGTGGTGTGCACCTGTAGTCCCAGCTACTTGGGAGGTGGAGGCAAAAGAATTGCTTAAGCCCAAGAGTTTGAGGCTGCTGTGAGCTGTGACACTATGGCACTCTACCAAAGGTGACCAAGTGAGACTCTGTCTCAAAAAAAAAAAAAAAAAAATACTATAATAGGATCCTTTCATGTCAAAACTTCAAGCCTAAAAGGTTTATTAGGAAAAGCTCCTCCAACAAAAGAAACTGCTATTTATAAGAAGCACTATTAGCAAAAGAGACCAAAACTCAGAATTACAATTCTCTTCCACCCACTGACACCCCCGACACATTGAGCACCTCAAAACAGAAAAGCACAATGCATTCTATTTTCAAAATCATCTTACCTTTCTCAACCTTCCTTTTGCAGATTTGAAATCCAGATTCTCACACAATCACTGGCCTTCTTTTCTGTTTGATTCAATAGCATACACACTACTGAGTGTCTCTCTCACATCAATGGGAAGGTCACTTGTCTTACTCTGCTTTCTAACTATGAAAACAAAAGTACAAAAATCCTAACCCAAAATTCTTTAAAAAAAAAACAAAAAACAAAACTTGAAATTAAACAGTGTATAGAAGTACTGTAAAAGCCGTCATCTTTTGCCAAACATCAGACTTCAACATGAATGTAAATGGCTTTTTTCCCCCCAAATGGAAAAGGATTCCTGCATCTTGATGGGAGAGCAAGGCAAAGAGTTAAAAATAAAACTCTAATAAGCCATTTCCAAATTGGTGAGATACCATCAGAGTGTGTGCTGTTGCAGGAAACAGAATGGAGAGCCGTGAATGGGAGTCTCTGCACTTCATATCTGCAAAAGAAGAGAACAGAAAGGTTAACTTAAATATAGACTAGATTATCTCCTTCACCTGTTTCAAGCAGTATCCATAAACAGTTTTTAAGTCAAAAAAATAAAAGGAAAATGTGGTGGGTTAACACAGAGGTTTGTAGATGAACTCAACCTTCTTATCTTTAACACATAAATTGAAGTTGGAACACTTTTATGCTACACCATCTTGACTTTCAAGATTTAAAAAAAAAAAAAATACATCTCCAATCTCTTCTTTAAACTTACTGCCTTAAATCTACCATTAAAATAAGCAAAATGTGGGGCGGCGCCTGTGGCTCAGTTGAGTAGGGTGCCGGCCCCATATACCGAGGTGTGAACCCAGCCCGGCCAAACTGCAACAACAAAAAAAAGCCAAGCGTTGTGGCGGGTGCCTGTAGTCTCAGCTACTTGGGAGGCTGAGGAAAGAGAATCGGCGAAGCCCAAGAGCTGGAGGTTGCTGTGAGTTGTGACGCCATAGCACTCTACCAAGGGGGACGAAATTGACAATCTCTAAAAAAAATAAAAAATAAGCAAAATGTGCTTTCCTATTGAACAGTTATTCTAAGGAAAATTACTTCTAACAGTAAGAAGAACTGTAAAAGATTCATTTTTACAAATGCTCGTCCCTGTAAGGGTTGACAGGTAACCTTTTGGGAACCCTAATGTACACACTCCATTCTCAACCCTGCTAAACCCTGCAAAAGTTAAAGGTTAATTTAAGGACAGACAAGTGCCTCACGAGCCATCTACCCCGCTCAGCACCCCATTCTCTGCAAACATCCAAATGCATTTAGCATTAACCCACCCAACCCACTATGGGTAAGCCGGGGCCAGGTTGCAGAAAGAAGCCAGAGGTGGGGGGTGAGATTGACTAACCCATCTGCACCCGTGTCCTCCCACCCGGTGGCACACCTGCCCCGGGAGTCGCCCACCTGGGGCAGAGACCGCCCTCTCTCGGCCTTGCGCGCCTGTCCCACTCGGAGCGCGCGCCACGCGCCGCACAGGACCAGAGGGCGGTGCAGGCGGCGGGGCCCCGGAGAAGCGAGAGCCCACGGTGAACGGGCCAGTCGGGCTCGCTCCCTCCCTCGGGACCAGAGGGGCGGGCGCGGTACCTTTTGGACAGATCCATAAGAACCCCGGAGAAGAGCTTCTCCCCGAGGCGGAACGACACGACAAGCGCGTCCTCAATGATGTGGTCCAGCGTGACTCGCACCTCGGAGCCCGGAATCAGTTGCGACACCGCCGAGTCTCCGCCCGCCGGCGGCACGAGCGCCGGTGCTGCGGGCTGAGACAGCGGCGTCTCCTCGCGTTCCTCAGGAGCCGGGGACTGCTCCGGCAGCGGTGCAGGAGAAGGTGGAAGTTTGGGCCCTTCCTGAGGCGCAGCTGCCATCGACTCCGCCACCCGAACGGGCAGCTTCTCCTCTGCCTCCAGCTCCGGCCCCGCCGCCTCTGGGGTGCCGGCGAGCTCCCCCGGCGGCGGCGGTGGTGGCGGGAGCGGCGGCTCATCGGCCTGAGGAGCAGATTGCTGTCCATCGGCATCGCCATCCGGCACAGACGCTTCAGTGGCCGTGACCGGGAGGGGGTCAGTACCGGCCTCGCTGCCGGGGATGGGCTCCATCTCCGGCTCGGCCTCGCCGGCGCCCCCCTCCCCGGGGGACGCTGCAGTCGCTGCCGCCTCTGCAGCTACAGCCGCCATTTTCTTCCTGGCTTCTCCCTCCTCCAACTCCGGCTGCAGCGGCGGCGGCGGCGCTGCTTGGTTCCCCAAACCTTGCCCTCCCTCCCGCGGACAGTTTTGTCCCGCCCTTTCCCTGATGCGCGTTATTGGCGTTGCGCCATTGGTTCCGTTCTATACCCCTCCCGCACTTGTGATCCTCCATTGGCCAGGAGCGGACGTCTATCATCTAGTCAGTTCGTCCCGTCCGCGGAGAGTAGAAACTTCTCATTGGCCAGATGAGTTGTCAAATGTCTACTCTAACAGGAGGAGCTGGAGGGCGGGCTCAAAGGGGGCGGGGGAAGTCACAAAAGAGGAGCCACACACTTGCCACCTCTTTCTATTAGCTGGAAGAGAAAATAACGTTTTATGATTGGCCTACGCTCCTGCCCATTATCAGCCAGGTCGTCGAAGGCGGGAGAAGGGAGGGAATCACGTGGCGGACCAGTTCTTTCAAAGGCTACTGAGGGGAGGAGTAACAAGGTAATGAGAGGGGAAACGCTTCCCAAGAATCCCTGCGTAGAGATCCCTATAATAAATGTTATTTCTAAGCACAAACCTTGTGGCCGCGTGTGGGCACGATAAGCTCCTTTGGGAAAGACAACTGAAGTTTGAAATATAATCCTGCACACACTTCTTGAGTGCCGGCTGTGGTAGTCACTGTACTAGATGCTGGGGATTGGATGATGCCCATAACCTCATGGCAGTCACTCCAGCCTCCGCACAAGCAGTGTTTTCCTTGACTTCTCTCCACTTTCTAGGAACAAAGCACCTACTTATCTCAAAAAAAAAAAAAAAAAAAAGGCTAATGAAAAGGAGAGACTATCTACACTGGAATAAGCTGAAGAATGTTTCAGAGAGAGGTCCTGAGACATTGCTGACTGCTATGTGAACACTGCTTATTCTCCAAATTCTCCGGAAAGTGGACACATCTGGTTCTCTCTTAAGCCTTTTTCTTTCCTGTCCTTTCCTATGTTACTATACTAAAGATCTATCTTTTCAGTGACGAGATGCCTCTCCTTCTCAACTCCCACTTCAACTGTCGTGCTTTGTTATCTCTGGAAGTATTTGTTGAACTTGTTTCTCTCAAATGGCACCTCAGAGTCAGCCTTCCCTCTGGAAGAGATGATAGGTACAGAGAATGCCTATAGGAGAATGGGGAGAAAAGATGCTAGCATTAAGGGGAGTAAAAATAAAATTCTATATACAATTAAAAAAAGTGCAGGCATAATGGCTCACACCTGTAATCCAGCACTTTGGGAGTATGAGGCAAGAGGATAGCTGGAGGCCAGGAATTTGAGACCACTCTGGGCAGCATAGTGAAACCCCACCTCCATACCCACCCCAAATTTTTTCAAAATAATTACAACTAGCATTTTTTCAGTATCATGTACCAGACACTAGTACAAACACAATGGTATATTATCTCATTTAATTCTTAATAAGACATTTACTACTATTATACTCATTTTATCTTTCTTATTATTTATTTATTTATTTATTTAT